ATTCCTCTATTGCTAAGGTAATTTTCCCCTCTGGTTTACTTCAAGACTTTCTCTTTGCCTTTGGTTTTTAGCAGTTTGAATATGATGTGCCTAGGCATGGATTGTTGTAATGTCTTTGTTTTATGTTTGACTAGAGGCCCAGTGCATGAAATTCATGCATGGGGAGGGGTCCCCTCGGCCCAGCCTGAACCGCCTCCAATCTGGGACCTCCCGGGGATGCCCGACTGCTGGACATTCTTCTCACAATCCAGGACCACTGGCTCCTAACTGCTCATCTGCCTGCCTTCCTGATCGCCCCTAACTGGCCCTCCTGCCAGCCTGATTACCCCTAACTGCCTCTGCCTGCTGACCTCATCACCCCTAACTGCCCTCCCCTGCCGGCCTGGTCGCCCCACACAACCTGCTGTTCAGTCATTTGGTCGCCCCACACTAACCCCGCTGCTGGCCTGGTCGCCCCACGCAGCCTGTTCGGTCGTGGGTTCAGTTGTTTCTGTTGCGACGGTCACTTTGGCTTTTATATAGATAGATTGTTTTGGTATTTATACTACCCACAACCTTTGGGGGTACGGGATGATGCTCCATCTGACTGAGCCACCTGGCCAGGGCTATATATATTCTTAATTTTTGTAGTTATTGGAATTTTCAAATGTATACAAAAATAGAGAAAAGTAATAGATCACTATGTACCCATAATCTAGTCTCAATAATTATCAACATTTTTGCTAATTTTACCTCATCTCTCTCCCTCCCAAACCCTCACCCCCCAAATATTGTAAAGCAAACCCCATATAACACACAAATACTTCAATATGAATCTCTACTGGATAAGAAAGTCCATTCACTGGGTAAAGTTACTTTGTTCTAACCCCTCTGGGGGAGAAGTGAGCTCATTTCCTGTATAAGAGTGACAGCTGCATGGTTCTGCCACTAGTGTTGCTTGGAAACCTGAGCATGAGTGGGAGAGTATGTGTGAGTGCTGAGAAATGAAAGGGTGAACTGACTTGGAGAATTTTCACTGATTCTCATCTGTCCTTCTTCCCTCCATCTAGACAGTTGGACAGGTCAATAAACTAAGAACATTTCTCTTGTACTTAAAATTCTGGGTGAGAATTAGTTCTGCAAATGGAAGCAACTTATCTAAGATGATAAAAACAAAAGTCAAGCAAAGGCCATTTTCCTGTGCAATATTGGATGTTTCAACTGCAAACCAAGACAAAGAAATGTGAGGTTTTGTACAGCGGTGCTTATACTGGCACTTTCCAATTTTCTGGGTGTCAAGAGGCAATTGTGACCATAGCAGCAGCAGTTTAATTCTGGCTTGCTGATCAGTGGGTTACCAGCCCCGGGAATGTGTTAGTAAATTCAGAGCTCCAGCAACAGCCTCAGGGGTAAGCAGCTCTTAGGGGGGGTCAGTTCTAGTCTCTCTGGAAGTCATTCTACAAGGAACAGCCTAAAACCCATTTTTACATCTTCAATCCATTTTATAAGCACCTATATTACCTGCATTAAATATCTTCCAGCTTAAGACATATGTTTCTGTTTCCTGAATTAACCTTGATATACACTATTTGACGTACCAAAGTGTCTGTGGAACCGGTACTAAATTTTCATGAGCTAATACTTGGTTTTATTATGCAATACACTAATTTTTCTATTCTACTTGTTCCATTTAAAATTCCCTTAAGTTTATACACACTTTTAAACTTAAACTTCCACACTATTCTAATAATTAAATAAATAGTTGATTGCAATGGTTTAAATCTATATCGTGACCCCTTGTAAATGACAACAGCATTTACTAATTTTTCTTTTATTCTATCCTAGCCCTCATGGTAGACAATATGGAGTTTTTCCAGCTATCATTTTACTGACCTCTACGACAGCAGGGAACAGTTCTCAGGCAAGTCTCCACACAGCTAAGACATATTTTAAAGAAACTGACAAAAAAGAAGACAGAGAATAAGGGGGAAAAAAGTGGTCCGACTGACTTTTAGCTTTGGTGGGGGGAGAGGGGAAACTGCTCTTGATTTAAAAGAATGTGAGTTTTTCATAAAATCATTTTCTGAAAGCTTTCATTGACTAGACCTGATTTTTTTTTTATTAAAACAACCTCTAGAAACCATATGCACTGTTTGAATGTTTTCCCTCCATCTACTCATTAGTCAAACAGAAATAAATCTAATGGGACCAAAGGAACTTTTAAAAACTAAGCATCCTTAAATCTTGTTATATGAATAGTGAACTATAGTCAGATTTTAGTTCTTCATTCCAAAACCAATAAAATCACAGCAAAATGTTAAATGAATCCACAGATCTCAGAGGATAACAGATCATAAAACTCCCACGGATTTGGCAAGGTGGCAGCCACTGACAGAAGGAGAAAAGATATATAAATATAAGCTAAAGTTTCACATTTTTCTATCCTAAAGAATTGAGCTTTATGTAAAAAGTGGAGTTCTTAACTATAAAACATGTTTCTACATTAACAGATAACATTAATGAGTACTATATTTATGCTTTATACGTCCTACCTTCTACAGGAAAAAAAAATTTGAATTAATTTCAATCATAAAGCTCAACAAGCTTATTTAAACTTTTATGTTAATGTATTGAATGGAAATCTTCCCAAAATGCATTATCTTCTCTCTTGCTTAGTGAAACAACATAAAATGAATATTAATTCATTTTGATGCTTCAGCTTTCTAATTATCATAATCAATTACCATCCTATTCTGAAATGCTGTGCTCTTCTGGAGCCACTGCTATGTGATAAAATGTTAAAAGTGAAAACATCGCCCAGCCGGTGTGACTCAATGGTTGAGTGTCAACTTACGCACCAAGAGGTCACCGGTTTGAATCCCGGTTAGGGCACATGCCCCAGTTGCAATCCCCAGTGGGCTGTGTGCAGGAGGCAGCCCATCCATGTTTCTCTCTCATGGGTGTTTCTATCTTTCTCTCCCTTCCTCTTTGCCTCAGATCAATAAAAACATTTTTTAAAGTGAAAACATCATGGACATTGGTGCTAGACACAACCTGGTTCAGATCAAGGTGCTCACAACTCTCTAGCCCTGTGACTATGGGCAAACTAATTAACATCCCTACATTTAAGTTTCATCTGCTATACAACAGGAACCAAAATGCTGCACTTGTAGACTGTTAGAAGGAGTAAGTGATTATTTGTAAGAATATATAGTAATGCCATTAACACTGTAAAATAAAATACCTCTTACTTCTCAAGTTAGAATATATCATAATTCTGATTAATTGATACAACTGTACAAAACTGGTGGGTAAGTGGCACACTACTATCTTGGTAGAATCAAACAGCACAAACTTTAGGAGTTGAAAGCACAAAATAAGGTGGTAAATTTAAACCTTAAGTTGAAATATACAGTAGGTCCTCGGGTTACGTGGGAGATCCTTTCCTACGGCGACGTAACACAATTAACACCGTAAGTCGGAACCCACCTACGTAAGCACCTACGTCACTCACATGGAGCACAGACGGAGCAGTAATGAAGTGAAACAGTAAAAAACATTTAAAAGAGAGATAACAATCCCTGAGCTTTACTTGTGGTAAATAAGTAATAAAAAACATAAAGCACACATGTACATACGTCGAAATGACGGAACTTTTTGTTTTTTTATAAATAAGTGGGAGATGGCGACGTAACCACGAAACAACGTAAGTCGAGTCCAACGTAACCCGAGGACTGCCTGTATTTAGAACAATGTTTTTGTAAATTTTATCTTTTAAATTTTTATTTTGTTTGTTGCTGCTATATATACTAGTTTTTATTTTAATTTTGTACATCAGAAACATTGCTAAATAGAAATCCATCTAAGAAGAGACATAAACATCTAAGTTTATAAAATTTTATTGAGACATTTAAGACAGATAAGTAAAGAGATACACCATTTATATGGATTAAAGGGTCACTTTTCCTCAGATTGTTCTATAAAGTCAATGTAATCACAGCCTAAAATTACAACAGTCTGTGTGGAAATTGACTAGCTAATTGTAAAATGTAAATGCAAAAAGCCAAGAAAAAACAAGGCAATCTTGCAGAAGAATAAAATGAAAAATTCTATCGAATATGAATTATTATAACTGGGCAGTTCAGTTGGCTAGAGCATCGTTTGGATACACCAAGGTTGAACGTTCAATCCCCTGTCAGGGCACATAGACAAAGCAACCAATGAATGCATAAATAAGTGAGACAACAAATCAATGTCTCTCTCCCCCTCCATTCCTTCCCAGCCCTCTCCCTCTCTAAATTAAAATAAATAAAAGATAGCACAGTATTGGTACAACAACACAAACACAAAAGACAACTAGGACACACTAAAGAACTTAGAAACAGATCCATAATATACGAAGAGTTGATTTAGGACAAAAGTAGCACTTCATGAAAGTCCAGAAAGGAAAGTCTTTTCAATAAACAATGTTGGGACAATTACATATCCATGGAGGATGGGGGAGGGGGCAATTAAATTGAATCCTTCCCTCATACCACACCCCCAAAAAAGAACTTAAAAAAAAAACTTCAAGTAAATTTTCAGGCCTTAGTGTGAAAGACAAACTATAAAGCTTTTTAAATATAAGAGAATGGGTCCATGATCTTGGGAGAGGAAAATATTTCTTAAACAGTATGCTGCCCTAGCCGGCTTGGCTCAGTGGATAGAGCGTTGACCTGCGGACTGAAAGGTCCTGGGTTCGATTCTGGTCAAGGGCACATGCCTGGGTTGCGGGCTCGATCCCCGGTGTGGGGCATGTGGGAGGCAGCCGATCAACGATTCTCTCTTATCATTGATGTTTCTCTCTCTCTCCCCTTCTCCCTTCCTCTCTGAAATCAATACAAATATTTTTTTAAAAAAACAGTATGCTAAAAGCTTTAACCATAAAGGAAATAATTGATAAACATGCCTAAATTAAAAATAATAAATGGTTGTTCAACAAAAAACATAATAAAGAGTGAAAAGACATGGTAGAGGGCCTTGCTTAGGGTTTTCAGGAAACATGGAAGCGGTGGCGATAGTTGGAGCCTAAGTACTCTGATGGTCTCTCAGTGCCCTGTGAGAGGAAAGGGGAGGATGCCACTGGAATCATCATCTTCGATGCAGCTATCCTTCCCTTCTCTCTTACCCTCAGTGCCAGGCAATTCTACTAACTCTTTCTTTCCCCCAATGTCTTACATCACGTCCCAGAAAATGAAGTGTATTCTTCACTGGTTTGCTAGTTGGTCAGGTCCCCAGCGTGAACGTTTCCTACAAGACCTGGTAACTAAAGCAGTGCCAGGAAAATTACAGCCATTGCTAGAAGGTCTGGAGCAGCTTAGTGTGTCTGGAGCCAACCGACCACCTTGTATCTTTGAGTGCCAACTACGTCTTTGGGATCAGTGGTTTTGAGGTTGGGCTGAGGAGGAGCGCAATGAATTTGTCAGGCAGCTGGAGGTCAGTGAGCCAGACTTCGTGGCAAAGTTTTACCAAGCAGTGGCTGCTACAGCTGGTAAAGACTGATAGGCATTAAAGTCAAAGAAGACAACCATAGTTGATGGAGCCGAAGCCACAACTCTACAGTGAGAACTTCAGATGTGCCACTTAAAGGTCTGGGGATGGTATCCTGATTCACTGACTGAGCTTGCTGACTAGTACGGGCCTGGTTATTTCAATGTTGACAGCACATCCGCTGGACTAGTGTAAATGTTTTCCATTTAAGCAAATCCAGAGTAGCAGTCTGCCTCTAGCTTACTTTTTTCCAGGAGATGGAAAGCC